TTTATACCGGTAAAAAAAGATAAATACAAGTCATGTTTGACTTCTGCAATTACAAGAGGTGCTCAAAGTGGTTACCCCATCAGTGTCCAGACACTTCTGATTACGGCGAACTACTGCTTGAGCAATGTAGATCAAAGTGTCTACTTGTATACATTTTTTTTGGCATCCATGGTATATAGTATCACACAGCACAAATGAGAGGACACAGATTTTCTTTCAAACTGAAAAACAATGCTTATATTTAACAGACATGGAAATTACTTTTTCTATCAAAATGCTTCCCTTCATTTCCACTTTAGTTAAAGGCACTGTTATTCTTTTGACATAAAAAAGAGTCCAATTACTTTTCTTACTGCAACCTGAAAACATTATGCTCACATCTACCTTTACACAGAAAATTAGAGTGAATCTGCACTAACTCCAAAAGTGACTCTAGGACAGAGATTAGGAGTGTGTGTGTGTGTGTGTGTGTGTGTGTGTGTGTGTGTGTGTGTGTGTGTGTGAAAAATCCCTACAAGTTTGTTTTCTTTCCATGTCTCCCTATTGATAAATAACAAATACAGAAGAAAATTCTTCTGTTTGAGAAAAGTATATCCTAGGAATTGGTTTGGAAAACAAGAGTTTTTGAGGAATGCACTGACCATTTGACTTTCCCAGGCCGCTGTTCTACCCTAAATCCTGAATTTTCCAGCCTCCCGTCAGCCCTGCTCCCTCAGACTGACTAGCCCCCACCATCCAGATTCGCACGTGCCAATAACGTAATCTATCCTGTTGCTACTGTTTCTGGGATTTTGTACAATTGGTTTTGTACACTGACAAAGACTTAGTGTTTAAAATCCAGGGGGCATTCTGTCAGCAACCAAGGACCTCAGTTCACTCCTGAAATGGTTTTTCCTCCAACTGCAAGTTTTACGTGTCTTCCTATCCCTAGTTTAGTTGTGCCACTAAATGTGTAGACAGTTACCACCCCCTAGGTTCTCTTGACTCAATATATTCTGCAATATCTATAAGAAAAAGTAAAATGTAAAATAAAAT